CCCCCAATCTTAAATGGCATCTCTTATTCCTTTAAATACATTAATCAGTCTTGTGCAGGCAAAACTGATCCATCGGACAATGCAATAAACATGAATTATCATCTATCCAACATGCATAATGGCTTAAAAAAACATAATAGCAGGTGTAGTTTAAATGATTAGCTATTACACCTGCGGTGCGTCTGATTCAATTGGGGGAAATCATCTTTAATAGGTTAAAAGGTTTAGATCACCCGGCTCCTGCCTTAAAGTGGCTGTAGAGAGGGTATGATGGAGTACGCTGTCATTACTAATTCATTTAAGAAAAGCATGGGGGGAATATAGCAAAGAACAGCATTATAAGAGCCAATCTAATTTAGACATCAGGTAAAGCAGAGGAACACCTTTTTAAAAAGCATGATAAATGAATTTGAGAGGGAGATGAAATTCATCTTTCTTTCTTTCTTTCTTTTTTAAATTTTACTTTAACGGGAAATCCGACCGAGTCCCAGCCTACTTGGAAACTGAAGAGAAAGAAAAAAAAAAGACGGGAGGAAGCGGGAAGACAGAAGCCCCGCTCTTTAAAAGTTTAGCGTTCCATCATTTCAAATCATAAAATAATACGAAATGCAACGGCCCACCTCCCCAGCACGACGCGTCGAGCGCCGCTCTGATCTTGTTTATGCCCCCTCGTTGATCTGCCTCGCTGGAAGTGCCAGCGATGGGGAAATTGCACATTTAAGCGGCCGCACAAAAGGCAGAAGGATAAACAGTACAAATTAATAACCTGCGGGGGGAAAAAAGTGCTGAAGCAGAGAGATGTCCGAATAAGCAGATACGGAGATGTGCCAGCGTATCAAAAGTGACTTTGCTTCCGTATTAATCACCGGCTCTCCTCCTGGAACTTTTTGATGGGCCCTGTTCTTTCGCCGCCGAAGAGAGAAGGCCGAAGACCAAAATGCTGGCTCAGACTTGGCAGGAGGCAAACTTTCAAAATATATATATATATATCTCCCCGTTTGTACGGCTTCATTAACTGAAGTTTAACACTCCTCGGCTTGAGAGCCACAACATTTATGGACCATCAACCGTTAGGGATCATCTAATAATGCCGGGCAGAAGTTCCCAACTTTTATGGGCCACTGGGGGAGTGTGTGGGGACGAGAAAGCCATTGTCCAGTTGGAAGTGGTCCTAATCTTCCTTTGTCAAGCCATCTTTCTTGTAATATAAGAGTGGGAACCAATGGATTAGAGTCCTGTTCTATAAGTGTGTACGCCCTGCCTCATTTAGGAGAATGTAATCCTCGGAGTAGTGAAAACACCAGAGGTAAACTTTACAAATAAGACACCTGCAGAGATGGACAACCTTCCAAGTTTTCATCTTGTAGCACCATTATAAGACACAAGTATCCCAGTATCTGGTCAATATCTCCAAGGCTTCCTCAAGGGAAGATCTGACATCTCTTTCTGCTTTCAGAGGGTGCCATGGCATGCCTTGAAGGGAGATGTTGCATATGTCCAGGTGGACCAGGGGTTTCGGGCTAAAACAACCTTAAGGCAGGGGTCCCCAATCGCTGGTCTGTGGACCAGTACCGGGCCGCAGCATGCGAGCAACCGGGCCGCACAAAGCCCCATCCCTGGGATGTAGGCAGCACACAAAACCACACTCTCTCCAGTCCATGGAAAAACCTCTCTCCATGTAACCGGTTTCTGGTGCCCAAATGTTTGGGGACCTCTGCCTTAAGGTATCCTCCATCATCTCCTCTACAGCTCTGTCTACAATAAGAATAAGGGGAAAACTCTGATGATCAACAATCCTACGAGGTCAAAGGCTGAACGGATAAACTATCTCCTTGTGGATGCAATTCCAGCTCGGGTGATCTTTATCATGCTTTCTTTTAAGCTTAGAAATCATTCTTAAGCAATCGGTTTTAACACTCAGTTCTTTTGGGTGCTTTTTCTTGTTTATTGTCCTATTGTTTACTAATTTCATTCTTTTCTTTTTCTTTTTTCTTTATCCCCTGTATCTTTGTTACAATATGCAGTCACAACAATAAAAGGAGACATTGATCCAAATGGCATTCTCTGTGGCATTGGCACAAAAAGGCTTCGCGTTGGGCACGGCCGGGATAAAATATTCTTTTCTCAGAAGGCAGATAGGTAACATGGTTCCCGCCCTCCTCTAGAGTCCCAAGGTGTTCGCTATCAAATGAATTTACCTTGATCCCTTTTTGGGGACAGGAAGGCACACTTCTAAACAAAACACCCCTTATTTTTTACCCACTGGAATTCATACGGTGCCCGGAGGATTTCTGGAAATTATGATTATCCCGAAATATGTTTTATAGGGTATTAGGTCCCCCAACTTTTTAAAATGGGACTTTTCCAAGGTCCCAATTACAGTTTGTTTGTTCATCAGATTTACACAACAGCTCGTCTCATGTCATTCTGGGCAGGGTATAGTAATAGTAATAGTGAGAAGGAAGAGGAGGAGGAGGAGGAGGAGGAGGAGGAGGAGGAGGAGGAGGAGGAGGAGGAAGAAGAAGAAGAAGAAGAAGAAGAAGAAGAAGAAGAAGAAGAAGAAGAAGAAGAAGAAGAAGAAGAAGAAGAAGAAGAAGAAGAAGAAGAAGAAGAAGAAGAAGAAGAAGAAGAAGAAGAAGAAGAAGAAGAAGAAGAAGAAGAANGAGAAGGAAGAAGACAGGAAGGAAGGAAGGAGGGGGAGGGAGGGAGGGAAGGAAGAGAGAAAGGAAGGGAGAAAAGTGAGAAGGAAGGAAGGAAGGAAGGAAGGAACCCAGATTGAGAATTAACTTTTCAGATTGTATACTGCAATACCTTTTTTCTTCAGAAATGTTCTTCTATTTGCAAGTGGGCTTTGGCGAACTCGAGGGTTTTCTAAAAACTTCACCGCTGTGGCAATCTGCAGGGCAGGCAAAAGGTTGAGAAAAGACAAAAAAAAAAAAAGGGAAATTGAAAATGGGGTTCATCGTAATTCAGATTCCAACGCAACCAAGCTATCAACGTTTCCCTACAAATACCTGGTTCCCGGTGAATTAAGTACATCAGTAATTTAACTTTGAGGCAGATCTGTATCAGGGAGTTCCAAAAGGTTGCTTTTTTACATGCTGCATAGCAGAGGTGTTCGTTTCGAGATTAAATCAAAAGGTGCGGCCTTTTTGAAGCTCGGAAAACATGAATATAAACAATCAAGGAAAGAGGTAATGAAGAAGTGAGGCGAAGCAACAAAACGTATCGCGTGTGGTACTGTGCAAAGAATAAGTCATCAATTGTTGGCCACTAAAGATGCAACAATCTAGAAATGGATATTTTAACCATTCTAAAACGCTAAGATGTCTGTGGTTAGAATGTTATTTCTTAAAACAAGAAAAAGGAAAGTAAGGTAGCCAAAGGCAGGAGCAAACGGGAAGACAACATTTGATCTTTATTTCAACCTCTTCAGGTTTCTATCATCTACACCGCGATCTAACGTTTCACAGGAGTTTACGGTCTGTTTTTCCCTTCTGCAAAAATATCAACCTGGGGAATTGCTGCAGAACAGAAAAAAAAAACCAACCAGCTTGCAGGACCCTTTTACTGATCTCTCAGAAGCCACGTCCCTCAATCTGGTTTCCTTCCCGGCACGCTGAATTAAACACCTATTATCCCAAATCGCTCGGGATAAAAAAAACGGCCTAAAGTCGCTTTGTTAATTAGGATGTGTTTGCTTTTTTCTCTCTCTTTTTTTTTTCTTTTAGCCCAAAAGCAGCCTTGGAAAGTGTGTTTTAGCAAATGGCAGTTTTCAAAGCCCTGATATCGTCTCTTCCCAGAAGCCAAGTGTGGATCGAGCGGGACCAGGGTTTGCTTCTGATCACCAACCTGACTGCAGACGGGCCTTGACCGACTTCCAATTTTGGGTCCTGCCCTGTATAACCTTTCTGAGAAAGGTGGTTTGTGAGACTTTTGAGGTGGGGGAGAAAACTCAACCCAGATGTTATTGCCGTAACTCAAAGGAAACTTTGGCTTTGACCTGGTTTTTGCAGAGATGAATCTTAGGTCAAAAGAGCAAAGTTCTGATGGCTTTTAATGGCTCTTTTGATGTACTCCTTGCGCATTCCATCAATGTTGTGTATGTGTGTGCAGCCCACCCACCCCCAATCTTAAATGGCATCTCTTATTCCTTTAAATACATTAATCAGTCTTGTGCAGGCAAAACTGATCCATCGGACAATGCAATAAACATGAATTATCATCTATCCAACATGCATAATGGCTTAAAAAAACATAATAGCAGGTGTAGTTTAAATGATTAGCTATTACACCTGCGGTGCGTCTGATTCAATTGGGGGA